AGTAGGATGGGAGAATGGGAGGAGCTTCCTTGGGAGGTGGCATAGCAGTCCTCCAAGCTCGGCTTTCCCTGACCCGGGACAGCAGAAAGATTTTCCCGCCAGGGTCAGAAGGCAAAGCCCAGGAAAAAATCAACACCAACTAAGACTAATAATCGAAGCTGACCGAGTGCTCTCAGGAGTGACTGCTAGGTCTCAGGGAAGATTGCCACCAGAGTTGCAAAATGACCCGTGAGCTGTGAGCACCCAGCTCTGCAGCCTGCGAGACACAGGAAGCTGAGCGTTCCTGCAGAGCTTCTGGGAGGGCATGCATCCCCAGCCTAGCAACCCCAGGAGGCTCTCTCTCCAGGCAATGGCAGAATGCACAAAGACCACCGGTACTAAGGAGTAGGAAGCTAACTCTGCCATGCTGACAAGGACAGGAAGGGAGTCTGGGCACTGGGGACACATTGATTTCTGACTGCCAGTACCATAAGGTAATAACGTTCTCATGGTTACCGATCATTGAGTAGGGTCTAGACGGGCTCCAGGATCCCTGCCGGAACCAGCCAGCATCCACGAACGCTGAAGTCTCTGTCAGAAGATGATGGGATATTTGCATAAAGCCCACGCACACCCTTCCACACGCTCAGCCATCTCTGCGAGAGCTTGCACAGCTAATACAATTTGAATAGACACTGCACTGTATGGCTTATGGCTTGACAAGAAAGTAAGGTCCATATATTCAGAACAGTACGATTCCCGAGTTGGTTGGAGTAGAAACCGCAGGTATGAAGTAGTGGTAGAGTCCTGCTACTTTCCTTATTGTGTGCCTCCCTTGGTAAATCATGGTTTTTAATTTTTTTCCTCTTAAAACTGTCTTTACATGGACACAGAACAACTACAGGCATGGTGTGGGGGCTAATTTTAGGTTAACCTGACCCAAGCTAGCTATAAGGGTGGAGCCCCAGGTAGGCAAGCATGTTGGACATTTTCTTAATTGGTGATTAATAGGGGGAGGCCCAGCCCATTGTGGGTAGTGTCCTCTTTGGACTGGTGGTCCTGGGCTCTATAGGAACACAGGCTGAGCAAGCCAGTAAGCAGCACCCCTCCCCCCATGGCCCCTGCACCAGCTTCTGCCTCCAACTTCCTGCTCTGCTTGAGTTGATGCCGGGGACGGATAATGCCAGGGTGCTGTGCAATGGTAGACATTGAGCTTCACTGACCACAGAGGCTGACAGAAATGAGGTTGTGGACTGTTACATTGAAGTGTGAGTGAGATAAACCCACAGCAACCATAACCCTAGCATAGACACTCAGCTTCTAAAGCTCCCTTTCCCTCTCTCTTTGATACTGAACTGGTGTGACTCAGGGAAGTACTTAAGTAAAGCAAATGAAATATTAGACCGGCGAAGACTTTATAGTTTCTTTTCGTCCTTCTTTCTGGAGAGTCCCAGGTTGTGTGGGTTTACTGATGGCTTCTGGTTGGCTAGAAACATTGAGTTTCCCCTTTTTTTTTTTTTTTGCTAATGCAAGCGTTTGCTGTTTGCAGACGTAGCATGAGACCAACTGTCTTCAACTGTGTCCCTCCATGGGACCTCAAACACTTGCCATTGTCACAATTTGTGAAAACACACGTTTAGACATTTCATCGTGCCTCAGTCTACTTTTTTTTTTTAGCCAGAGGCCTCAGGAGGAGCCATCCCTGCTGGCATCTCGCATCTCAGATTTCCAGTCTTCAGGACTGGGAACACATGAGTCTGATAACTTCACTCGCTAGGCAGATAGCACAACACTTCCCGTGTCTCCATTCTAGTTTCTGGGTAGTACATTAGTGTCTGTGACCCCTCTCCCCATTGCCACGGTGAAGATGGTTATATCCTTTCTCAGCTGACCCCCTGACCCAGCCTGGGAAGCCCCAAGGTTGTGAGCCAGCATGGGAAGCCCCAAGGCTCAGTGAGGCACAACGGTGACCACAAATGTGGAGATACCTAAGTCGGGCTCAGCCTTGGCTGGCGATGGTGGTGGAGGAGAAGCGACTCGTCTTCCAGAGGGCACGCGGGGTGCGTAGTCAGGGGAAGCCTCCCTCAGTGCGTGGTCAAGAGGTAGGAGGGGGAGCCCACGGGGAGAGGAGCTGGCTATCCTACGTGTGTCTGTGTGTTTGCCTCAGCTGGTCTCCCGGGTAGGAAGCAGGGGGTGGGGCGGGGTGCGGTGGTGGTGTCCTCCTGGTCACTCCCTCTGCATCAGAAGTCCCGTGTGCCCCATTACCTTCTCCTGACAGGTCCCCACTCTCAGCCTCCTTGGGTCGGATGCCTTTTCCATAAGGGGCCAGGCTTACACCACGCATTGCGTTTTTTATTCTTAGTGTTCGGCTCTGCCTCTAACACTTCAGCAGGTGTGGTGGGCAAACGTGGTTTGTGCTTATGACTCTCTGACATTGCGCTGTTGGTTTTGTGGAGTGGATGGTGTCTCAGTTAGGGTTTCTACACCGTAACCAAAAACAACCCGGGAAGGAAAGGGTTTGTTTGACCATGCAGCTTATAAGTCCTCTTCGGAGAGAAGACAGGACAGGGCCTGAGCAAGACACTGCTTATTGGTTATCTCCTCATGGCTTGTACAGTTTGCCTTCTTTTAAAAAAATTCATGTGATATTTAGTCATAAATTTTGGTATTAAAATATGATTACTACAAAAGTAATAATTCTTACAGTATTTCAAAATTCATCCATAGTCCTCACTTTCATAAAAACCATAATTTGTTTTAAAATATTCTCACAGAAGAAAATTGAGAAAACACAGAAATACAAAAATGGAAAGCAATAGCACTTTTTACATGTTAAATAACAGAAAAGGCATTGATGGTTTTATGGGCTCCCTTTTTAACTGCAGAATTCCAAATGAATTCAGAAGTTTTGTTTCCGTGTTAATTCAGTTATCTCCTCAGATGGTTTAGAAGTTAGCATATCTTCCTGTCCATGTTAAAAAGTATAGAATGTAATTAACCTTCAGGCTTCACTGGAAAGCTTTTGTAAACTATCAAAGCAACCAACTTGCTTTCTTATACAACTCAGGGCTACCTACCCAGAGCTGGCACCACACACAGTGGGCTGGGCCCTCTCACGTCAAGCAGTCTGGCAGGGCATTTTTTTTTTCAATTGAGGTTCCCTCTTCCCAAACGCCTCTAACTTGGGTCAAGTTGACATAAAACTAGCCATTACCAATTAAGGTGCAAAAACCAGGCAGTGTTTGCAGCAGGCACTTTAAACCTGTGTTTGGAATCAAAGGGGGGAGGCAGGTAACCTGAGGTTAGGGCAAAGGGTGGCTCGGAGTTACCCAGTAAGCATATTCTCCATCCTGGTGCTTTTTAGGAAGTCTTGTGGTAGGTCAAGCATAAAGGTATACACGATAGCTTGCTCCAGGCTTGTCCTGTGGGGCACAGTCAGAAGAGCCGGGCAGAGTAAATTATTGACCAAGTCCTTATCAGTGAGAGGATCAGGGCATAGCAAAGTGGCTTTTACCATCTGTTAAAAGAGTAGGTATCAGGAAACTAATAGTGTGGACTCAGTGATGCGGTCAGCTGGGCTCCAGACTCTGGAAACACTTTCTTGCTCCAGACACTCGAAACACTTTCTTTGCAAAATAAGAACAATGTTTCTTTCAGTGTCTTCTCTAAGATTAAAACTTCTGACTTGAGCTGGGTGTGGTGGAATTCCAGCACCGGGAGGCTGTGCCAGGAGCATCTGACAGTTCAAGGCCAGCCTGGGCTGCTTACTGAGTTCCAGGCTTTCACCGCAGAAAGTGCCAGTTCTCATCTCCATTTTGAGACCAGGGTGGTGTTTTCTTTGTCTACAGGGCAGTCCTTCTGGCCTGTTTAAGCCTTTCTTGTCTGTTTTATCTATCTATCTATCTATCTATCTATCTATCTATCTATCTATCTCTACTTATCTATCTATGTATCTATGTATCTATCTATGTATCTATGTATCTATCTATGTATCTATGTATGTATCTATGTATCTATCTATCTATCTATGTATGTATCTATGTATCTATCTATCTATCTATGTATGTATCTATGTATCTATCTATCCATCCATCCCCCATCTAACTTTCCTGGGTTAAATGACTTAAGCCCAGCAGTTTAACTCATTCCAGAATCTTCTTCATCAGCTGTATAACACAGCTCACTTTTACACAGGGGGAATTCCTTGGTGGTTGGCAATAGCACATCCCCGGGAATGCGTGAAAACGCGGTGTTTCTGATTCTGCAGGGACTTGGGCCCTGCCAGGGATAATAGCGTGTTTTCATGAAGCCCCACCAAAGGTGCTGGTGAATATTCATGGCACCTATTTTCCAACAGTAGCTCAGGTGGTGACACCATTTCCCAGGTTCCCACCATGTCCAGGTGTGAAGTCAGCAGTCAGATGGGTGAAAATGCCGCCCCCACTAAATCTGGATAATGATCAGAATGAGACACATGCCTTGTTTGTGTCACCCCCCCTCCTCTCCCCGAATCTGGTCTCTAGCATTCTTTCCCGGGGCTTCCAGGCAGCCGCCCTTCCTGCCGATGGGACTCTGTGTCTGGGGGCAGCTGGGCTGGCAGTACTGTCCGCGTCCACCACCTTCAACTGAAACACCTGTTCCCACTTGCAGGCGTCCCTCTTCTTTATACACGCCTTTACCTTTCCACGCGTGGCCCTGCCGTGTCTTAGCCAGAGATTGGTGGAGGGCAGACAGATGCCAGCTGTGTGCGTGTGTGTGTGTGTGTGTGTGTGTGTGTGTGTGTGTGTGTGTGTGTCACAAGATGAAAACTACCAGAAGAGGGGCTATGCCCACCCTCCGACCCCCTCCCCTTCCCCAGTGTGCCTGTTGCAAGGCCAGGTTCTGAGGATGGTGGTGGCGTCCGAGGGGTTTCCTTATTATAATGTCTTAGTCAGTGTTCTATTGCTGCGAAGAGACGCCATGGCCACGGCGGCAACTCTTATGAAGTAAAATATTTATTTGGGGCATTGCTTACAGTTTCAGAGGTTTCGTGGTGGAGGAGGTGGGGGAGGCAGCGCGGCTACATGCAGGTGGGTAGGGCGGGGAAATAGCTGAGAGTTCTATGTCTGGATCTGCAGGCAGCAAGGAGACACAGACACAGACACAGACACAGACAGACAGACACACACACACACACACACACACACACACACGCACACACACACACAAACGTCAAGCAGTTTCACTCCCTAATGACCAGTCAATCAAGTAGAGGAGCCTATGGGGAGGCATTGTTATTTAAACCACAACACTTAGCATGCTCCTCCTCACTGTTTAACATCATACAAGTTGGGGGACTTCAGCTGTGTGGGGTCCCTGTCCCTGAGCAGGGTATGGGCATGTGATCTGAGCAGCCCTAAAGGGTGCCATGCAGGGCCAGGAACAAATAGGCCCCAAGGACAAAGTCACGGAGTCAGGGCAGATAAGGTTAGCTCGTGATGTGGGTTTTTTTGGTAAACAATGAGGGGTTTCCTAGTAATACAGGGGTGAGTAAGTCAGGGACAAATAATGCCAGGGTTTTATGCGATGGTAGATGGTGTCATCACTGGCCACAGAGACTGAAGAGTGGCGGATCAGAAATGTGGTTGGGGACAGATTGTGACCTCTTATGTGCGTGCATTTCTGGCTAGGGCAATCATGGTTTCTGTGTAAAGGGCTTGACTTCATGAGGATGGTGCTAACAGGGGAGCTCATGAGGGAGGTCCGCCTGGAGGATGCTGCAGAGAGAGCCCCCTAACCGGGGAGAGACTTCTCGGTTGCTCTTAGAACAGAGACGTTTGGGAAGGAATGGCTAGAGTTTGTGCAGGATGAGGAGGACACGAGGTCCCTAGCCCAGTTGTCACAAGGATGATGGTCCCGCGTCCCTAGAAAGGCCAGTCTAGACGACTGGGTACAGCTTGCAGGAAGGACCTTGGTGCATCTGTGTCCTCTGCTTCCCAGCCTCTCCATGTCATCTGTCTGTCCAGTGTTGACTTCGCGTGGGTCAAAGGCTCTCTACGTGGATGCCCAGCCACTCTGTGTGGCGTCCTTAGCCTGCCCAGGCTCCAAGGAGATGCCACCAGCAGAAGGTGTGTGTCTTGAGAGGGCTGAGCACACATTGTCATCTATGGCAGGACCTGAGTGACTGGCTCTGCGTCTTCCCACCCGAGCCTTGTCAGCTGGGGCCGGCGTGTAAACCAGAATCAGGGTCTATGGAAAGGAACGGGGCTGGAACTTGTATTTGTCTTTTCTTCTTTTGATATAGCCAAATGCCACAGACTAGGCCACTTGGAAGGATTTGACACTAAGTGGTCCGAGGGCTTCATCTGCTGAGGGGGTAGGTTGGGGATGGGGGCACGACTCTGTAGTCTCAAGGCAATGCTGGACGCTAGCTACATGGTGTGGTAAGAAATGTAAGGAAAGATGGATTTTATAGCCGACCTGACATTCTCTTAGTATATTCATTCACTCTGTTTTTTTTTTTTTTGACATAGGGTCTCATGTGTCCCAGGCTGGCATTGAACGTTTGCTGCAGCTGAGGATGACAGCTTTTGCTTCCCAAGTGCTAGGATTACAGGAGTGCACCACCACACTTGCTTACAGTGTATTGGAGATGGTGCCCAGGGCTTTGCATGCACTCTGTCAACTGGGCTACTTCCCCATGAGACAATGAATGGGCTGCCCTGTCCAGGAGGACAGAGCCTCTCAAGCTTACCCCTCTCGGAAGCATACCTGGTCTTGTCTCTTTGCAACTCACCACTGGGGTCACACGGCACGGTGTCTCTTACAGCTTGCTGGTTAGGTTCCAAAGCCACCATTCCTGGGCTGCCTGAGGGTATGGCATGCTGTCTTGTCTTGGAGAGCAGCGGTCTAGGCCCAGCGGAATGTAATACAATTACTGTCTCCCGAAAGCACATCTATTTCTAAGTACAGTAGTTGCTCTCTGTCCCCTAGACTTGGGGGCAGTGTGGTCCAGTTCCATAAATGTAGAAAAGCCAACTGTATGCAGACTGTCCCTTCTCAGCCTGCCTGGGCCACAGCCCGGTGCCTCTCACCCACAGAGGGTCAAACTGCCAAAAGAGGAGTCCCAGGTAATTGCAGGAATAGGCACCACACACGTTTATGCGGTCATTCTCTAGGTTTCCTTTTAGAACAACTTTTACCCAGACAGGGATCTTCAACATGTCTATACAACACACTCTTCGAAAAATGGGTTTCAGCGTCCCATGACAGTGGAGAAGGTCACACCCCTCAAGCTGTTCCTTAGTATCCTCGATTCACGGTCAAGGCTCCGAGAGAGTCTGCGATGGAAACTGGACCTGTGGGCTGGGAGACGATGGCTCAGTAAGGAGAGTGCTCGTGGGCAAGCGTGAGGTTCTGAGTTCAGAATCCCAGACTAAGTACTGGGAGCATATCTGTGATCCCAATACTGGGGAGAGCAGAGGCAGGAGGATGCCCAGCTTCCTGGTCAGCTAATTTAGCTAATGAGTGAGCTCTGGGTTCAGTGAGGAGACCCTGTTTTTCTCCACCATTATATATATATATATGGTGGGAGCTGTAGAGGACACCTTGTACCAGCTTGTAGCTTCCACATGTCTGCACACACGTGGGCACTTGTACCAGACACCTATGTCTGTGCACATGCATGAAAGCATACAACACACACACACACACACACACACACACACACACACACACACACACACACACACACCAAACTGCAGATTCCCTATTGCTTGTCAGGACACAAAACCCTGTTTGCCGTTTTGCATTAAACTTGTGTTTTCATTTTATGCATATACGTGTTTTGCCCGAATGTATGTCTTTAAGCATGCCTGGTGCCTAAGGAGGCCAGAAGAGGGCAGTGTATCTCTGGGCTGGAATTTAGACAGTCGTGATCCAACATGTGGGTGCAGGGAACTGAACTCTAGTCTTGGCAAGATCAGTAAGCACTCTTAACCAGTAAGCATTCTCCCCAGGCCCCTTCTTTTGCACTTTTTGCTGACTATAGTTTTAGCACCTGGGTTAGACCACTGTAGACATGGTCATAGCGCATCCAAACTGGGCTAACCTTTAATGTCATGTTGAGAGCCCGTGAAAGAGCCTTGGGCAGCCCTGGAGCCGGAGTGGGGGTAACCCCTGACCCGTGGGGGGAATGTCAGGTATCTTCTGCCTTCATGGCCCATTTCCATCCTCCCCCACCTTCTCATTAGAATTTTCTTTACTTATCCTACTTCCTGATATTTTACCTCAGATGAAAGTAGGGTAATTAGTTCCTTGTCTCTGCTTTTGACTGTGTCTCATCTGCCTTCTGGCTTAGCTGTGAATTACGTCTTTAGGGTTTTTTTCCCCCTTTGAAATGAATCTATGCTGTTAACCTCCACCACCCCACCGCTCCTGGCTGGTTTCCCTTCTGTCACTGGAGACTTCAGACTCACTTATTACCGTTAAGAAGCAAGAAAGGGGCGTGGAGAGATGGCCCAGTGGTTAAGGACCCTTAATGACTTTATGCGAACCAGAGTTCAGTTCCCAGCACTCCCAAGGCAGCTCACAACAGCTGTAACTCCAGTTCCATTGGGACCCAACTCCCACTTCTGGTATCGACAGGCACCCGATGTACGTGGTGCGCAGAAGATGAAGATGGCGGCTTCTGTCCCTCCTGGTCCCGCAGCCGTTTAGCCCCAAAATAAACAAATGGATGCTATATTAATTATTAATTAATTAATTAATTATTAAACTGTTTGGCTGATGGCTTGGGCTTCTTATCGGATAGCTGTCTCCCCCCCCCCCCCCCCTTTGTTTTTTACGAGACAGGGTTTCTCTGTATTGTTTTGGAGGCTGTTGGACCAGCCCAGCCTCGAACTCACATAGATCCGCCTGCCTCTGCCTCCCGAGTGCTGGGATTAAAGGCGTGCGCCACCACCACCCGGCTAGCTCTCTCTCTTAATTACTAACCCGTTTCTAGTAATCTATGTATTGCCACGGGGCTGTGGTTTACCCATAATCTGACATCTGACGTGTTACTCCTTCTCCGCATAGCGTCTCTCCATGGCTGCTCCTCCCTGTCTTCCTCTCCTCAGGTAGCCCCGCCTATACTTTCTGCCTGGCTACTGGCCAAACAGTGTTTTGTTCATCAGCCAATAAGAGAAACATAAGTGCAGAGGGACATCCCCCCCCCAACACACGCACACAAGATAGAAATAAACCTTCCAAGGAAAGCTAAGAAGGAATTAGGCACCCTGATGAAGTAGCACAGCATTCGTTCCTCGTTGCTATGATGCTGTTTTACCTTGGCCAATGCTCTGACCTCTCTGAGCCCCTTTCTCTCATCTTCAGAACGCCATCTGCTTCCCAGGAGTGTGGCGAGAAGGAAACGAGTTACCGCGCCAACACTTGGAATCGTGAATGGCACGGTTATTCTAGTAACTAATGACAACAATAACGATTGATATTTTGGCTTTAAAAAGGCATTTAAATACGTTTTCCAAACAGCCCCTGATTAACCCCCCCCCCCCCCCCGAGGTCTTACTCGTCAAGACGAACCACAGAAAACGTTTCTCCCGTCACGGTGTTATTCAGGTTCACCAAGTTGCATTTTTTTAAAATTTATTTGCGGTGCGCACAGTCACTCCAAGGACACTAGTGTGGCAGAGTGTGAGGAGAGGACCCAGAGGGCTGGGCCCTGCTTTCCACTCCTTCCTCTTCCTCCCAAATGGCTGCTGGCCATCGCTAACACGTGGAAGGCTTGCACTTAGAGGTAACAAGAGGCCATGGGCTCAGTCACTAGTGAGTCTCAGTTTCAGGTGTAAATAATACATTCTGCCCGCGGGTGCCACGTTCTGGGAGGCTGTGCCGGCTGCCTGTAAACAGGGCTTTGTCAGCCGCAGCTTTCTGGTGGGAGATGGCAGATCTTCAAAGGCTCACTTTGGCGCCTTACCCCTTAAAATTTTTATTAGCATATGTCGACTTTGCAAGGCGGTGTTTCCTGACCTCCTCGTGCCAATGCCCCGAGTTCCTCTACGGTTACCCATCACTGTTCACTCAAGCTTTTCAGAGGGCTGACAGATGAAACCTCCTGTCAGGCCTGTCCCTGTACCCTTCCACGTGGATTGGCCATAAAGCACTGTTTGGAATCAGCAGCTGCAGCAGCAGCAGCGGGAGCCGCCTGGGACAACTGGGGGTGACCGGCTGTCTCTGCTTCCTCTTCCTGGGGCCTCCTTTCTGCATTTTGCACAGGGGTCCCACTGACCAGCGTAGAAAGTCAGAGAGTGGAAGGGAACCGGCCTGCCCTGTGACCCAGAGTGGCAGGAAGGCCATAGGATGCTTGTCCCTGCCACCTGCTAAACGAAGTCCGAGCACATTATATAACAATGAGAGCTTCTAACCTTTAAACAGAGGGCAGTGGATCAAGTCCTGCTGAGCTGGAGCATTGGAGTCTGCCAGTGCCTGTCACCCCAGGCTGAACTGTCCCTGTGTGAGCCCTGGTCTGCACTGGGAAGGCTGCCGGTTGCCACTCTTTCCTTCTTCCTGCTGCTCCGAGTTCCTGAGTAAGAAACGCCACCATGTAAGTGTGCCTACATATGTGTGTGTGTGTGCGTGTGTGTGTGTGTGTGTGTGTGTGCTTGTGCATACACGAGGCACATCAGAGGTTGTGGCAGCCTTTTGCGCTGTTTCTCAGGAGCTAAGCAACCCTCCTTAATTTCTGAGAGGGTCTCTCACTGGCCGGGAGCTTGCCAAGTAGGGTGGGCTTTCTTACAGGTGAGTCTCAAAGATCCTCCCATCTCGGAACCCCCCACACGCAGCCGTGGTGTCACGGTCACGAATTTACCGTGTTCAGCTTTGAAGAGAAAATGGGGGTCCTGGGGTTCCGAACCAAGCCCCCTCCTCCTTAGAAAACAGCTCAGTCTATGAAGCCAACGAAGAGTTGGCACACTTCAGTCCCCTAGTGCAAACAGCCGCAGGTCTCATCTCTTTCCTAGCTGTTGGCAGAATCACCCAACGCCTCCGAGTCTCTCTGAGTATGGGCTTGATTTCCTTGTGTCTCGAGCTCACCCAGCGCTAGCAGGCGGCTTTTCAGATGGCAGTGACAAGTGTCTCTGAAGAAAGGGTTTCTGGGGAGGGTGGCGGATGTGCTACAAGAGGCTGCGATGAGGGTGTGGCTTCTAATGTGACAGGGCAACTTGACAGGCGTAAAGGCCGCTGCACTGTCAAAGGAATGGCTTGCTGTTTTAGAGTGATGCTTCCTGCTAACTTCTTAATTGCTCCAGCCATAGGCTCTTCAACTCTGCTTCTAGATGGTTCTATTGAGAAGTCCAGGCAGTCCCTTGGATCTCATTGATGGCTAGAGCCGTCTTGTCTCTCCAAGCTCTGGTTCTCTGTATGTGCGTGTTCCACTGTTAGTGTCAGAGAGAGAGATAGGTCTCTCTCTCTCTCTCTCTCTCTCTCTCTCTCTCTCTCTCTCTCTCTCTCTCTCTCTCTCTCTCTCTCTCTGTGTGTGTGTGTGTGATGTATTTGCTTGGCTTGGAGGCTCACCAGTTCATGCATGCTCATGCATGTAGAAGCCAGAAGGATGTTGATGTTGGATGTCTTCCTCAGTTAACTTCTTGCATTATTTTGTGAGAGAAAAGTCTCTTAGTGAACCTGGAGTTCATCTAGTCAGTGAGGCTGGTCAGTCAGCCAATGAGTTTGAGGGATCTGCCTGTCTGTGGCTCCCCAGTGCCCTGACACCCAGCTTTTCACATGGAGGCTCAGGACATGCTTGCACAACAAGGACTTTACCCACCGAACCAACTCCCCAGCCCTGGCCCGCATGGCTTCCATCCTTTCTTCTGAAAGAGCGGTAGAAAGGACCAACAGGAAACATCTGTTTGCTTGCACTCAGGAGCTTGGTCCTGTGGTTTATCCTTTCCGCCAAATTATTGCCGATGGCGTCATCTTTGCATTGAGCCATTTTCTTAGCACAAGACCCATTTTTTCTAAAAGCGGAAGATGAAATGATGAGCACAGAAGGTGGAGAAAGAAGCAGACAGCATGCGGCGTGCTCACGACATTCCAGACCCTGGTCTGAGCTCTACCCAGCTACTCACGGTTAAATGCATTCGGTGCCCCGTTGCTTTGTCTATCCTCGGACCTCTTGTCTGAGTGCCCACATGGTTCTCTCTGTTCCCGTTGCTGTGATAAGATACCCCAAGAAAAGCAACTTAATGGGGAGAGGGTTTGCTTGGCTTAGAGTTCCAAGTTGTAGCTTGTCAACATGGGAAATCCAAGTGTCAGGAACTCACATCCGCAGCAAAGAACAAGGAGCTGAGAGAGTTGTGTGCACACACCCAGCTTCCTTTCTCCACTGATTAAGAATTGCATTGTGTGTGTGTGTGTGTGTGTGTGTGTGTGTGTGTGTGTGTGTTGGTCACATGTGGCACAGTACATGTGTGTGTGGATGTCAAAGGACAACTTTTGGGAGTTGCCTCCTTCTTCCATGTAAACTCAGATGATAAGCACCTTTAGTAGCGAAGCCATCGTGGAGGCTCATCCTCCATTCTCAATCAGTTCAGAGCCTTGAGCCTAGGGAATGCTGCCACCCATAGTGCCTGAGTCTCCTTACCACAGCCAACACAGTCCAGGTAATCCTCCACAGATGTGCCACAAGCCACCTGCCCTAGACAATCTCTCATTCTCTTCACCGGCAACTCTAGGTGATGCCAAGTTGACAGTCTCTGCTAACCATCACATCAAGTGTTGCACTGAAACAGCCTCTGGCGAAAGGACGTTTTTAGTCAGATAGTGCCGGGCTCTTTGCTCATAGAATGTCACCTGGTAAGAAAGGCAGGCATGGAACCAAACAAACGTTACATGTTAGGAAAGCCAAGAGCAAGGTTCCCAGGAGACTCCCACATTGTGGCTGCTTGGTTATTCGAGAGCCCCTGCAGTGGCCCGGAGCTCAGTGCCTGGCCTTGAGATGAAGAAACTGAGGGCCAGAGCCAACTTCCAGAGTAGGAAGGCTGGCGACAGTTGGCCAACCTCTTCACGCTCCAACCGGTGTGTCCTCTCTCTGGCTCAGAACTTCTGCCCTAAGATCCCGGATGGATCTTAGTTTTGAAGACCTTTGACTAACTCACCTTAGGGTTAGACTTTCCAGAACCTGCCAGAGATGTCAGAGAGCAGTCCAAGGTCAAGGGACTTTTTGTTTGGATAGCTAGCCCAGTGGCTAAAGGCAGAAGGCCCATGTCTAAGTGTGGAGGTTAGCTTCAGTTGTCAGCTTGAAACAATCTAGGATCACTTGGGAGGAGATTCTCAGCGAGGGATTTTTCCAGATCACGTTGGTCCACGGTTGGGTCTCGGTGTGTGTGTGTGTGTGTGTGTGTGTGTGTGTGTGTGTGTGTGTGTTGTCTTATTAAGTTAATTGACGTGGGAAGACCCTCCTACTGTGTGTGGGTGGCACTGCTCCTTGAGCAGGGGATGCTGGATGATGTAAGAGTGGAGAGAGTTGCTGGGCGTTGGTGGTGCACGCCTTTAATCCCAGCACTCGGGAGGCAGAGGCAGGTGGATCTCTGTGAGTTCGAGGCCAGCCTGGTCTACAGAGTGAGTTCCAGGACAGCCTCCAAAACAATACAGAGAAACCCTGTCTCGAAAAACTAAAACAAAACAAAACAAAAAAGAGTGGAGAGAGTTCCCGAGTAGCAGCATAAATGCATCCACTCATTGTTTTCTGCTTTTGATTGAGGATGTGAAATGGCTGGTGTCTTCAGCTGTTGTCACCAAGCTGTCAGCTTATCAGCCTAAACATGCAGAGCCTCTGGGGAGGGGGACCCCAATCCTGATTGCCTGGGAGGGGCTAACTCCTGGCCTCATGGCTGCCTGGACTTCCCTGTAGAGAGATGGGAGTGTAACCTTTCCTCCCTGGGTTGATTATTGCCGAGGCACTTTACCACAGCAACAGGAAATAAAAAAAAGAGACACTAAGTGGCAAATAAATATTTTTATTTAAACACAAACTGGAAGGTATACGGAGAAAATATGCTCCACCGTGTTTGTTAGTTACCCCTTTGTCACTATGGCAAATACCCGAGAGAAACTGGTTGTAAGGAGGTAGGGTTTGTCTGAGCCGTGGTTGGTTGGATCCTCTGAAGTGAGGCAGGGCGCCGTGTAGTCAGGAGGCTGCTCACCTCATGGCAGTCTGGATGCAGATGGAGAGCAAGGGGCCTTGGCTCAGTAGGTGTCTTTGTTGGGGAGAGAAGTTTATTTGACTCAGAAACACCATGGCCAAAAAGCAAGTTGGGGAGAAAAGGGCTTATGTTGTGTAGGAATCAAGATTCGCTAGACTCAGTACAGGTTAAATGAAGTTTATTTGGAGAGACTGCACTTACACAAGAGGCGCGTGGCTGCCTCAGGATCCTCCAAGGATCCTCCCAGCTGTCCCCTGTGACCCGGCCAGCAGCAAGAGAGAGAGAGAGCTCTGGGGTCTGCCACCCCAGATTTAGTCCTGTCCTCCATCAAGCCCTCACCTTGGGCGTGGTCAGTGCTACAGGTATGGGCGTGGGGGTTACCTCACTAACATTCCCCTTTTTAGGCTTGATATGAAACTACATACAAAGATAGCAAATCTCAAGTGTGCTTTAGGAGAAGTGACAATAAATCCATTAAGGGGACTGAAACCACTTGGGAGGTCAGAGTCCCTGGGATCCAGTTCCTTATCCCGGAAGCCTTGAAGGTGTGAGCCTCTGGGAGGGCACTCCACTTCCAGAGCACTGTCCCGTCCCCGTGGCAGCAGGGCTGGCTGGCAGCCTCTGCACTCCAGAGGTAACCAAAGGCCTCCATTAACCTGACCCTGCTTCTTCTCCAGCGTGTTCTGTTCAACTTTCCAGAGGGCGGACTCTGCCACCTGGGCAATGAGATCCACCTGCTTACAGGGATGAGGGCCGCTCACGGGTCAGCGGGCACCTATGACACCGGCAAGTATGACGCAACTGGCCTCAGCCTTGCCTCTCCACCACAGACAGGGGCAGGTTGCAACCAGCGAGAGCCAAAGGGAGAGCATAAAACCCTATTCTACTCTGCCACACCACCGAAGGTTCCCGCCCAGGCCAGGGGAGGACAGCCTGGCACACACAGGCTGGGTATCCCTGGGTGGAGCAGAGATGCGGATCACGTGGGCCCTGGGGGTAGTGACCTCACTGCCCTTGACACTCGAAACTCCGAGTTTCAGCCAATTTATCCTCCATCTCTCCGTCCCAATGCCCCTTCTCCTGTTCCACTAGACAGCTGTGTTTAATGGTTCAGAAAACTGCTGTGGGTCTGTAGAGTCTTCCCAGCAGAGTCATTGGTAATTAGGATAGCGGCTTCCCTGGGAGAACCATTTTTTTTTCTTTCCAGGCTTCACAGAACCTCACAGGAAGTCCGTGGGACTTTTCAGTCAGAGGCTGCCCTACCCAGCTTCTTGACTCAGGAGCCTGGATGATCTTGCTGGCAATTGCTTGAGGCTCTCTGAAAAAAAGAGTAGGAGACAGAGGAGCAGCAGCACTTCCTCTGTGCCCCACGAACGAGTCCAGGTCAGCCTCGGAAGAAGGCATTAGTTTGTTCCTTTCAGGGTTACCCATACTGTGGAAAAAGGCACTGCCCTCACTATCCCAGCAGCCATCACCACAGACACCAGACAATATCCACCGCTCATCCCATTAACTGGACCAGCAAGCATCTCGCCACATACCAGGCTGGGTCCACCGAATGTTATGATAATGCGCGTGGGGGACCTTGGTGGAGTCTATGGTGGGTGAGGGTGTCCCCAGGAAGGGGACAAACATGCTAGGTGGACAGAGCTTAGTGAGACGTTTTATTAGAAAGGGGAGGGAGAGAGAGAAGGAAAGAGAAAAGAGGTAAAGAGACACAGAGAGAGAGGGAAGAAGAGAAGAGGGAGACAGGAAAAGTCCTGTCTGCCCCCAGGGGAAATAGCTGGGAAAGAGAGTATAAGTGGGCGGGGAGGGAGGTGTCTGTCTTTTAAAGGGGTCCTTTGCACCTGCGTGCAGACTGGCACTCATGGAACCCTGGGCTGACCAGGGTATGGCCTGAGTGCATCCTGCCAGGCTACAGGGGCAGGCCGGCGTGCTGCCTGGATCCTTACGGTGGTAGTTCTTGACTGTAGACGGGTTTTTCTCTCCCTGGGACGTTTGATGATCCAGAGACATTACTGGGGGAGTCACCTGTGTGTTTTTGATGCTGGCAGGAGTGGATGGGTACCGTGAACACTGTTAAATGCCTTACCACAGCAAAGAATGGTTAGAGCCAACAACAGTCCCTCCAGTTGAGGTAGGAGTGTGCTCTTTTTGGGGTCACTCTGGCCCCTGAAGGATGTAGTCTTTGGTACTGGGCTTTGGAGAGGGTTTGGGTGGTGACTGGGGACACACAGAGGAGAGGTATAGTCGACATAGGTCGCAGATAACAAAACCACCCTCATGAGAGAAACAGCACAGCTCACAGCCTGGAACGGTGTCAGGACTTTAGACTCTGAACTTTGGGTCAGGAGCTACCTACCCTCTTATCAGAAGCCTCCAAGGCCCAAGGCCAAGCCTAGCTCATTTCCCAGGGGGCTTCCCTGGGCCCCGCAATTTGAATACAAGAACCTACCTCACCGGCTGTCTGCTGTTAGCCCATTTCCCACACAGAAACATGGAGTCCCAGGCAGGCATGCTCCCATTGCAGGCCTGGGTCTGGCCAGCCCCTCTTCTGGGAACGCTCTCTCCTTCATCCTGGTGTCTCAGCCACAGCTTTGCCCAGGACAGGATTTCACCCCTGTAACCCAGGCTGCGCCCTCAGAGAGGATCCCCAGTCCTGTCAACTCACTCCCCACCCTGCCTCCCCCCTGCTGCCCCCAAGCCACAGAGAACCCCAGCAAAGTACAACCGCAATGTAATGTCATAACCGAACCCACTGTTTTGTAAGCTAAGCAGATACTGAAACAAAGACATGAAATGAAACACTCCTGCCCTGGTCACGTCTCCCCGTTGCTCAGGGTCCTTGAAGTGTCAGAGCCAAGGTGACCTGAGAAACTATGGGATGGATGGGGAGAGGGACTGCCTTGAGGTCAAGGAGGGTCAGGACAGAGAGGCCCGTGTGGAGGGAAGAGGCCACAGTCCTGCACCCTGTGGGTGGTTCAGGCCCCTGGCTGCAGGAGGCTCTGTACAACCTGGTTCTGCTTGCACACCAGGCCCTGGGTTACACCAGGAAAGCGAGCCTCTGCAAGAAGCCCTGTGCAGAATAGCGTGGGAGCTTAATAATTGTGGGTGCTTAACTCCTTTCCTCTCCCACAGAGACTGCAGTCCCCACGACCCACATATTCCACCCCCTCCCTTCTCTGAAAGGGTTTCATATCATTCTGTCTGTGGATTCCAGTCGTCCTAACATTTTGCTACAGATCCCTAGCCCAGGAGTGCATTTGCCTTTCTGTAAAAAACAAAACAAAACAAAACAAAAAACAATGGCATGCTAACTGTCGGCAAACAATGGCCTGCGTTGTTCTGAGACCACTAAAGAGGGAACTTCAAGGGGAAAAGTGTTTGGGATGGGAGCCACACACTGGACATCTTCAGAGCATCCCAAAGATCTTACTGTGTGATTCAGGTCAAAGAGCGCCGAGCTAAGCAGTGTTCAATTGGTAAAAATAGTGCGCAGTGTTGTTCATAAGAGCACATAAATAAACGGACGTTTTCCAGGCCAGAGAAGGGTCTATGTCTTCTGTCATCCTTGCTTGTTTCTTTACCTCCACTCTGCTGACACATTTGTTTCCTGTGGCAGAGGGCATTACCCAGCACCGACCTCTTAACTTTCTTGCACTTCAATTTCTGCATCCACGAAACGAAAACGCGAGGCAAACCTTCATCATTGCCCCAGTGATTAGGATGCAGGCACGTTTCCCCGTGAGGTTCTTTGACCTTGCCCAAATGGTCTTAGAATCGTTTCCTCCGCCCCCTCCTCTGCCCCCTCCCCCTCCCAGAGCCTAGGGAGTGTCGTGGTCTTGGGAAGCCTCTGGGGTCTGGGAAACTCGGGACCCCAAAGCTTGGCCAGCTCTGGAGTGAATTCAAAGTTAATTTCAAGACTGTCCCCTGCGAGGGCCAGAGCGCAGAGCCAGCAGCGGCCCCCGCAGAGGATCTGCGCAATTGCTGGTGCCAGAGAAGATGCTCTGGCCAGCGCACTCGGGAGGCGGGACCTTCGCAGATAGTTCCTGCTGCTTCTCTTCAGCGCAGCTCGCAGGTCTGTGGTCCCGGGGGCCCCGCTCACTGACTGACCCCGCGCTGAGCTGTGGGAGTCAAGTGATCCTCCTCCCGCCACCGCGCACCTATCACAGTCCCTGAGCGCATTGCCGTGCGCTCCTCCCACCTGCAAATGCCTGCCCAGCCGGCGACCGCCACGGCCTGGACAGCGCCTGCCGGCCGCTTGAACCCCGGCTCTACCCCAGCCTCAGCTCCAGCTGGACGAAGGTAAGGATTGCCGGGGACCCCAGGGCGAGAGGACCGGGGACCGCAGGGCAGGCTGGCATCCGTGTGTTCCTTCTTCCTTTAAAAATTAAGGCACAGATGTCACGGGGCTTGGTGCGGGCTTGGGCTCACCGATAGAGACTTGTATACACACCACGCTGAAGGAAGTTGCGCTTCTGCGGTGGGTAACGGCACACGCATAAACAAGGGCTGCACAGCAAACGGACACAGCACATGATTCGTAAGAAATGCCCGAGCTGGAGAAAATAACATCAATCAAATCAGATTCTAAAACCAACTCGGAAGCATCCTGCCGCACCAGCTCCTGCATCGTGTGGGCCCAGGGCTGAGAACAAGAAAGGAAAAAAAAACCCATCTTAGCCGGGGGTGACAACCAGGGGTGACAGCCAGGGGGTGGCTCTTCTGATCATTTCTAAATGCGGGGAGTGCATTAGGCTTGGTAACCAACATTTTCTGGGGAGGGGGATGTTAGGGGAAAATTGTGCTATGATGATGATGATGATGACTGTGCGCGGTGTGTGCACTCACCAAGGGTAAACACACAGAAAAAACAGCATTTGAGGAAGGCCCCCCCCCCTCCTCATCCCGTTTCAGTTCACAGGTTTCTAATTTTAGGGCAACAGTCGGCTTTCAAATAATGGAAACTAAATTAGAAGAAAGCTGCTGTAGATTTCCTTTTCACTTTTCTATTTGCTCAATAAACTTAAAAAATTATCTGCTATGTGTCTATAACATCACCTCCATGTCCACGTTTGTATCTCCATTTACTATTTCTGCCCTGGGCCAATGGGATGGGGGGGGGTAGGTTTTAATCAGGTGGGATCTAGGGAAGGGTCTTGCTTGCTCCAGTCTGTGCCGGGGTATCCGATGGCTGCCTTAGCCCTTTATAAGAATGTAGGGAATTCTTAGTTGAATGGCTGAGTTATATATACACGCTTACATACCTCTCCCTCCCTCCCTCCCTCCCTCCCTCCCTCCCTCCCTCCCTCCCTCCCTTCTTTCCTTCTTCTCTTATTCTCTTTCTCTCTTTCCTTCTTCTCTTATTCTCTTTCTCTCTTTCTTTCTTCTCCTTCATTTTTTTTTGATACAGGGTTTCTCTGTGTAACACTCCTAGCTGTCCCGGAACTCACTATCTAGACCAGGCTGGCCTCAAACTCACAGAGATCCGCCTGCCTCTGCCTCCCGAGTGCTGGGATTAAAGGGGTGCGCCACCGCCGCCGCTGCCGCCGCCACTACCTTGCCCATTCTTGTATAATGAAAAATTTTCTCAGTTAAATTATAGCCTTGGGCAAGGAATATAGTTCTGACGGAGTTGTCCCTGGCACGTGGGAGGCTCCAACTCAGTACTCAGAACTGAAAACAACAACAACAAGAGGCCTGTCTATTTACCTGCCTGTCAACCATCCTTCCATTCCTGTATGTGCTCCATGAAGCCGCCCCAGCCCTTTTTCAGCGTTTCTTCTCTAAAACAATAGCTTGAGTAAGATGCAAATTTGTCTTCAAAAAGAGACGACTGTTTGTGTCTTAAGGAGGGACCGTGCAGAGGTCTGTTTTCTGTTACCTTCAGTTATTTATTTATTTTTTGTCTTCTCTTTCCAAGTTGTTCATCCAAAAGGCAAAGTAAAAAAAAAAAAAGAAAGTCTTAATTTTGAGGGAGACGCCGCTCAGGGCAAAGCTGTTTGGTGTCAAGTCCCGGAAGTGATCTTGGGGACCGGGTTCTTTCTTCTTCCTCCTCCCCACCCCTCGGCTTGACCCAGACACTTGAGGTCCCCTTCTTCTGTGGCTCTAGGGCAGGTGCCCCGAATGAATAATGGGTATCCCTGAGACTGGGTGTTATGAGATGAGGCCAGGTGTTGTTTCCGACCTGCCGGTGAGTTTCCTTTCGCCCAGGCCGTCCTCCTCCTGCTTCCACTCACTGGTCATAGGCAGTGGACGTGAACGGTTAGGTCAGTGGACAAGGTCCTAGAAGGACCTCTAGGGGCTCTGAGCTCAGGAACTTGCTGTCTGTCCTGTTTGCCCATTTCACTGGGCATCGGATTCTGTTTCTCCTGGGCTTTCTGTCAGGAGTAGATCTTGGCCCTGGGTGCCACCTGTAGTTCCATTGGCTTTGAACATCTGCCTGGTGTCTTCTGTCCCCAGATAAGCCAGTTGGTCGGACAGGGTGTGATCCTTTTTTTGAATCTGACATAACTTAAACTCCCGGCCGTGTCCTGTCCCTGACTCTAAGTATCAGCTATCAGAGGCTCACTGCCCCACACTGGGTTGGGTGAGCTGAGTGTGTGTGTGTGTGTAGGGGTTGGGGGTGAGGAGTTGGGGAGTGGCCTCCTGCACACAGTTGGCTTTTCTCCTGATCCCGATAGCTTGTCTCTGCTCACTTCCCTGACGTCATGGAAATAGACCACTGGCAAGGGATCTTTCCCCTTTCCTGATTTCAGGCTGTCCTCTGGCTAGGCTTGGGGACTACACTCCATCAGGCTTTGTGGTTGGCCTCCTGTGGGGTTTGGACAACACTTTCCTTTGCTTCTGGTAAAGAGGGAATTATCTGAGCCCATGTCTGAAGCTGCAAAGTGAACGGTTGGGTAAGATGGTTGATAGAAGTCACACGACTCTCCGTTTAAAACCAGGATCACGAGATCGAATGTCACCAGAATGAACCCCGGAAACAACTGGTTCTGCCAGCTGTATGGCACGCAAAGGTTAAACCCTGGACTCAGGAAACCACAGCCCTTGGGTGTTAGCTGTTGAGTTAGTTTGTATTCCCAACAGCCCGGCCAATTCCAGACCAATTCTGTCTTGCCTAGATGCCATGTTGATATACCAGGCTCACTATAATTTCAATATAATGACACACCCACTAGTGCTGAGAAAGACCTGAGCATGTCCAGACCAGGGAGGCAGAGAGGAAACCCCCGGAAATCTGCCTCACTCCTATGACAAACTCCGATGCCCGCGTGCAGTGCCAGATCCCTTATGGCTCAGCCTGCGTGAGACAGAGCATACACTTGCCCTGGGAAAGGAGAAGGGTGCTTTCCTGTGAGAGCCGACCTGTGCCTGTCATTGCTACCTAGTGAAATTTCCAGCTGGCTCTCAGGACTGCTTAGCCATTTGTAAATTGTACTGAGTAGGGAAAGAACCGGCAGGCCCAGCTGTGGACAGATAATAACTGGGCTTTTGACACAAACTCTGAGCTGGGAGGTTGGAGGGGAGAGGAGTGGAGAGTGAGAGAGGAAGAGAAGGGGAGAGAGAGAGAGAGAGAGAGAGAGAGAGAGAGAGAGAGAGAGAGAGAGAGAGAGAGAGAGCAAAGAGAAGAGGTCAAGAGGGTGCCTGGATGAAATGAAATAGCAGGTTTATATAGGAATGAGAATCTGTGCGGAGCAACAGATTCTCTGAGCTGGAGAGGTTTTGGGGGCATGGTTAGAAGGGCTGAGAGGAAGCCACAGGAACTGGGCGAGCCAGCTTGGAGGCTAGGTTGAGCTTTGGTGTGCTCATAGGCTTCACAGATAGCCTTTTGGACCTGACAAAAATAACATGGCGTTGGGTTGAAAACTACAATCAAGGGTTCAGAATATTATGTAATGATATTCACTTGGTAAAGGTAACAACCAGACTTTTTGTAGCTGATTTTGAATACCATCCTACATCCTCAATAGGAGCCAGAAGTCATTTGGGTCCAAACAGGGCTAAAAATGTAGTTGATCACTCCCTTGTTCCCTACGTGCTCACGGAGAGACAACGGAACTCGAGCAGATTATGTCAACCCTGTACCTCGGTTCTCTCCATCATCACCGTAGAGGATGATAGTATTATTTTTCTGGGTGCACATGGTGAGGACTATATGGTCCCATCTTTCCCTGTGACCCCCATCAACAACGATTATTGCAACCACCATTTACCTATCACTTTTCAAACGCTTGGGTATGGAAAGAAGTGTAAAAAAATTCTCCAATTATAAAATAACTTGATTTTAAGAATAATTTCCAATTGGTATGACACGTATACTTTGGGGCACAGTCAAATGGCAAAAATAGAGACTTTGGGGGCACAGTGGCGGGTGTGCCGAGTCAAGTTTGGATTCTCCTCCATGTAGCTTTTGAGTCACAGTTTCTAAACTTCCTCCCCAGTATCACTGTCAAGGCTGTCTATTCTCTTTCTAGCAAGACCTCATTTCTTTGTTCCCTAGGGGTGTTTGAATCGCTCTGCGAGTGTCAGCTCTGCAAGTCCCTCTTTGAATCTCCCAGGTGGGTCTCTTGTCATTTCCCGGGTCTGTTGTGTGTTGCTGACCTTGGGACTCCCAGTTTCTCTGGGGAGCAGCACATTATCAGGCTCACCTTCCATCCACATCTGGGAGACGGGGGCTCCCAGATTAGCTGGGTTGCCATTCTTGTTTAACAAGGGCAGGGTCACCTGCTTGGCCGCCTCTGTAGGTGCAACCGTTGTAAGCCGACCATTTGCGGACTGCCTTCCTTTTATGCTGCATTTTATTCGAATTCTTCTCAGAGTTTCACCGGAGGCCCGTGAGTGTCACAATCTACTTCTTTGTTGTCCCAGGCTATGAAAAAAAAAAAGGGGCGAGGCACCAGGTCCTGAGAATAACCAGGGTGGGCAGGTTGCTTTTCCTGTCCGTTTACGGAAACATGCTTTCGAGGCTACTCAGGTCAGGTGGGAATCAAGCTTGTGTTTCTCAGTAAAATTGCAGACTGTCTCAGGTGTGTAGAGAAGTCACAGAGCAGCAGACAAGCTATGTGGGGGCATGTCCCTGTGACACTGGTGGCACCTGCTCGTGGCTTACGAGGTGTGATCGTAAAAAGGTGAGCTGGTCGTAAAACACCGCCTTTTACTTCTCTCCCCACCTTAACCTCTTTCCCACCATTCTAGATTCCTGCTCCATCCTCTCTCTCTCTCTCTCTCTCTCTCTCTCTCTCTCTCTCTCTCTCTCTCTCTCTCTCTCTCTCTCTCTCTGTGCGCGCGCGTGTGCGCGCACG